AACAGGTGTGCATGCACAGAACAAAGCAAATAATGTATTTCTGTTTAAAAAATTGAGGAGCAACAGTGATACAATCCACTTCACAGAATGAAGGCACATATTTTTATAAGCATAGAAGACTGAACACTTCCACTGAAACATTATAATTAAAAGTTACAATCGAAGAAAAGAGGGTTAGCATTCTTAGTGACATGTGACATTTGATTAAACATACTAGCTAGCAAAAATACACAAATGAAGGTCACATTTGCAAGTATTATAAGGTAGAATACATTTTAATTAGATAGATGAGAAATGTCAATGAGTTAGTAACTGACCAGGAGTTGCTGGAAAAAAAAAGAATGAAGGAAAACAAAACAACACCCCAAGAGTCAGAATCGTTTATTCTCCATAGATTTCAAACAATACAAAGACAGTTTTCAGAGAAGGTTTGGGGATGGATTCAGTGAATTTGCCTTGTATCATTCCCTGTTTGAAGAAAGAATATATTTTTGTCAGATTACATAGTACCACAAGTGGAGCCATGTTGACATACGTTGTGCTTTTTGAAAAATATCTGCCAGATAAAATATAACAGATAGCATGTCTGCCTTATGTTTGTACCCAGAGGCTACACCTAATTATTATGTATACATTGCATATGCCATCCTTTGGGAAAAGATCCCCTTTCTGTCAGAGTCAGCTTAGCTTTCCCACAGCACACATGAAATGAAGTTGAATTTAACCTGACATAGCTATTACAAGTTATAGGAGTGAGCTTCTTTCAAATGATCTTGAAATTAATATTTTTGAGGGTTTTTTTTCTAAAAGAACATAACCTCAGTAATCAGTAGACAAGTTTCTCTATTACCTGTGGCACTGTTTTTCCTCATTTTGTTGAATCTGACCAAGGCTGAGGAGTGGTATGTGCTGGAAATGATAAAAAATAAATGAATAATTTAATCAGTTGACACAGATTCATTAAAAAGTTACCCAAAATAATTAAAATCATAGTTTGCTGTTGAAAATCACATTTAAGAAAATGTTCACTTGGAAGAAAAAAAAATACAGCCTATCTTAAAACTGTCATACTGTTGTTAAAATGACTATAAATCTGGTAGTTCTAGTGCAAGAACTGTGAAGGCTAATCCAAGCTGCTAATTTTATTGTGGCTGGCTTCTAGCAGCTTAATAACTTTAGCATTCGGGCCTATGTATTCCTTATCTGTGTCTGCTTGTAGCTGAGAAACTTCCGATGTTTTATCCCAAATACTTAAATTATTTCTAAGAATAAGGCTAGGAAAAAAATAATTTCATTGACAAGCTAAAGTGCAGCAGCTACCCATAGCTCTTTGATGGAATTTCTCAAGGATTTTAGGGGTAGATTGGTAAAGCTAAAAAAAACACATTAGAGAGCAACAGCTACTCTCCAGCAGTTTAACTATGTACTTAAATAATGGAAATAAATTTATTCTCAAAATTAAGTCTCGAAAGTCTAATCCAAACCAAATTAAAGGAATAATTTTATTGTAAATAGTACTCCAATAAAAATATATTCTAATTAAGCCATTGCAACGAGACAGTTAAGAAGCCTAAATCTCCGGAAGCAAATGTTTGGATTAGGAAGTAGGTTTTGTTTTCAGGTAAGCATTGATTTCTGCTTTAGTTATCTGTAATAATCACAGGCTACAGGCTTTCAGTAAACCACAAAATATTTGGTTACGTATAATTTATTAACTATTTCCAGTTATGTCTTACAAGAGAAACTTTACTCAGATAGTTCCCCCATGAGCATGACAGGAACCAGAGTCAGGGTGAAATTTCACATAGATCACTAACCCCAGCTAAACAACGAAAGGTCAGAAACCAGCTTGGGTAATACTGCCATTACTGCAGGACCTTTTCACCATGTAAGGTGGCTTTTGTATCCTTCCCTTCTTTTTCTTCCCATCTGATGTACTTTATCGTCTGTGCCACCTGAAATCATGTTGACTCTTTCGTTCTTTAAAGCCCTGGATTTACCTCTGTGGACCAAGTGTTCCCCATTCAACTGGATAACAAAGAATTTGAAAACATTTTTTTCAAGTGGGAGAAGAATTACAGTCTTCTTGACTTGATGAGGCAGCGCAGAGCAAGTTCATTTCACCAAGCTGCCTACACATACTATGTTAGCGAAAAGAAGTTGTCAAAACTGTTTCAGGGTTTTTGAATCCTATTTACTGGAGTAGCTTACTGTGTTATCTATCAAAGAAACCGGAGAGTCATAGCCTAAAAATAAGAAATATTACGTTAGCGAAAACTGCAATTTGATTCAAACTTCTGCAGAAAGGGAGGCTGCATGCCACTGGAGATTTCAGTGTGGCTTCTATTTAGTTTTGTCTAGCAACATGGTGTGTTGTTAAAATTTAGGCAGCTTGGAGCAAGTCTTGCCATTGTATTTTCTCCTTTTTCCAATACCACGTAGTGCTTAGCCCTCCCCATCTGTCTGGCTCCCACACTTCCTCAAACCTCTTTCCTCTCCAGCTGCGTTCTTCAGCCTGGAATCTGTTCCAGGCACTCACCCTAATGACATAAGGTCTGATCTCAAGCTAATTAGGTTAGGAATACTTGTTAGCTCAAACTTACCAGGAACTGTAGTATGTCTCATCTCATCAGCTGGCATGCCCTTCCAATTAAAAACAATAAAAGGTGTTGCATAGTAAAATTTTGGAAGGATTAATGTTTATTTTGCTCTCCCATGTGTGTGTTATCTACAGTTTGGCCTGGTGGTATATGAATTAAGTGTAATGGAGGATTCAATTTTTGATGTTTTATAATTACTTTTTGTTTCTCTTCTGGGCAGCAGGGAGGAGGGCAGCTGTTTTGTCTTAACTTGTTTTCTGGGTGAGATATTTGGTAGAAGGATGTTCCTCTCCTGTGAGCAAGATCATCTAAGAGACTTACAGAAGCAGGTGGAGATAGCAGAGAATGAGAGACACAGCAAGGAGGAGAGCTAAGTGTCAGACTCCCTAGAGGAGCAGGGGCCTGGCTGCGTTTTGTCCTCAGTTTGGGAGAAATGAAAACTTTTCAGAAATGAAAAGTTTAGCTGTTGAAACAAAGGAAAAATTATCATATAATATGCTCATATAGAAACATGCAGAGTTGTGTGCTTGTTCCACCCACCTTCCAAGATGACAATACAGGAGGTAGGAACATAGAAGCTATAGTAAATGGTCTATCTAATATAATCAGGATTATATGTGTTAAATTTCTGATTGTTTATCTCCATTTCTTTACAAAGAAACAATATAAGGCTCAGACAATCTAGGTTGGACAAGAAGTCTTTCTGCATACCCAGCAAAGGAGAGTGTTTTGTAATTTTTCCAATGAAATAAGAATAATTATTTGCATCTTCTCAAGCTAGACTAGCTGATGTACTCAGGAACATCACCTAAGGAACTATATTCTGTTGTTAACAAGTGGACTACATAGTTTAAAAGTTCTTGAGATATTAGAGTTTTAGTACTGATACATATATAGTGTATTTAACAGCCTAATGATACCATATTTCAGTCACACAAAGTATTTATCATTTGCTGAAAAAGTACTGACATAAAGTTTTCCCACATCCATGTCCTTTGCTGTAGGGCAAATAGCAGAGAGCTAAAATATCATGCTGAAAATAGAAAAGTGCCTGTATCTGCAGAAAATACTGAAGGAATAGTACATTCATTATGTCTGTGATTGCAGTCATGTTTCCTTTGGAAATCCTATTAAGGTTTATTATGCTTTGTTGTAAAGTTTGGACCAAAGGCAAGTCTGCTTTTTTTTTTGTTTGTTTTAATTGTAAAGCAAAGTGTGTATTTCTTCTATGTCTGTCTGTGCACTGGAGGAATGTCCTCCCAACAGCAATCACCATTGCTCTCACTTAAAAAAAAACAAACAAAATCAAAAAAAGCCCCAAACAGAACCACATAGAAATGGATCCTGTGAACCAGAGTGTGTATCACTGTTAGAATTGCACAGGAATAGTTCTGTAACACCACACTTTTTAATTTAGTCTTTCCTTTCTGCTTGCTTATCCATGTCATGTGGATTACAGGTCATTTGTTCACCTTGGGTTAGAAGCAGAAGGATATGTGTTTCATTAAAAGACAGAGCTGTTGTGCTGTTTTTTCAAAGCAAGAGTCCTTTGCATGTTGTCTTGCATCCTTGTTACCAGCTGCAAGCTGGCTGCATCCCAGCTCCATGTGAGAAAAACAAGACTGTGTCCCAGTCTGCCCATTTCCAAATTTTCCTGCAGTATTTCCATGGAGGGTATCAGCAATCCTGGGGATATCAGAGGATATGAGCTGTAAGGATGTGAGGAGCTCTACAGTGACCAACTAATCAGCTTTCCTGCCACTGGGGTTGCAACATTCACCACCAAACATTTCTATCCTCTGATGTAGACTGTGTTAGAGAGAGTCTCATCCCTTTCCTGTATCCATATTCCCCAGGCAATGTCTTCCTGTTCTGTTCACAAAGATGTCCGTTCTGCACTAAGCATTTAGTGTGATAAGTAAAACTTGTATTTAAATCCAAATTTTAAATTAGATATAGCATCATCAAAAATCTGTATATTTAGAGTTTACAGAGATGAAACCACTGATTTTAAAATAACAGTCATCTGCTTTTGCTGAATTCCAGCCTCTTCTAAAAGGTAGGAGAGGGGATGTGAAGGATAGATGGTGGCTGGACAGATACTTTTACTAGTGACTTAGGGTCATAGAAATAGAACTGAGATTGAAAACTCATATTGCCATAGGTTACAAATATAATAAGCCTGATTTTTATATTGTGTTGAAACTGCAGGGGAATTTTCTGTATTGGAGTTCCGTGCTGTTACTCAGTTCTGTTTAGAAGCGGAGTCCCTCATGGAGTCTGGGGTGACTCTGACACTTCTTTTACAAATAGAAGTTTCGTTCTGCATAGCTAAATATTCTTTTGAAAAGCGATAGATTTTATCTTTATTCAGTGTTCACTTCGGGGATTTTTTTTCAGAATATTCAGAAGCTGTTCCTGGTCTGCCCACTTCATATGCTGCTATACTAAGACTCAAATCTGGTAGTTCATCTTTACCCTCATTTAATTCAAAGAACAGACCACGATTAAGCAGTCCTTCAATAGGAAGTGTATCTTCACCAGCCTGGAGAGGAGCTGCACAACATTATCACTCCCCAACAAATCTCTACCACTTTTCAGAGGCCTCCAAACGTGATGGTAAGTCTAGTTTCCCTCTCTGAATCTTTGAAACATTTTTCAAAAGCAGAAAGAACAGAAACAAATTACTTCAGTAATTTGCAGACATAATTTCCCTTTAGATTATTCAGACTAGCTTTAAAGTCATCGGTTAAAACTTCCTTAAAGATTCTTATGCAGAAGAGTTTTATATAGGTTTTGCTACATGAAAATAGTAAACCAGGAGTTTGAAATTCCATGACAGCAGACTTTCATCTAGTAAAATGTAGGTCCCTTTTTTAAACAAATTTTTTTTCTTTGGAATTTTTCTTATTCTATCATGGATGATAGTAATGTAAATTAACCATGAATAATACATTTTATAAGACTACTTTTAATTACCTGCTCTGTGATTTCAACTCAGTCATGCATGCACACATATGCATGCGTGGATAGACAGACCCTTGTGTTATGGTGTCATTTACCTTTAGATGCAGTAATTCATAGTAACAATACACCTTTTCTCATGTCCGGTTACAATTAAAGAAACCACATTTGTGATACCTGCATCTTTAGTGATAATTTTTGTATGAATTTTGTACAAAGAAAGGTAGAAAGAAAAAGAAAGTGAAAAGAGGAAAGTAGGAGAGGGTGGAAGAAAGAGGTTAGAGGATATTTAAATAATAATAGTCTGAGGAGGTAACACAAAATACTTGAGATTAATACCTCACAGATCAACAGCATTTGTGCACTATAATGACTGTGATTACAGGACTACTGCTTCTCTCAGTAAAGTCTGGTTTTGTTTTTTCCCTGGAAGGTACCTTGCATGTATTGGAAGCTAATGGTGTATGCATGTGGTTTTTTGAACAGAAACAAATTATTTGAATAATGTAAGCAGATAAATTCTGTTTGACAGAATTTCTGGAACAGGAGCAGGCTTCTACATGTGTCCTTCCTTTGCAATATTCTTTGTAAGCCGTGACTAGACTAAACTCAGTTATCCGCCATGCACCAGACACTGATAACTCCTCCCAGCCAACCTGATCTGTGCAGGTGAAAATCAAAGTTAGATTAGAACCAGTGTATTACCCTGGTCTTCAATACCACAAACATCCAGAAACTGAAGGAGAAGAAATCAGTAGCTGCTATGCAAAAAAAGAGTACAGAATTTATGAATAATATAGTACAAGCTGTAACTATAAAGCATCTTCTCATCCAGTAACTGTTTTTTCCATCATGTTTTCTTAAAAAACAAACAAACAAACAAACAAAAAAAAACAAAAAAAAACAACCAAACAAAACCGAACAAGACAACAGCTGGCATAAAGACGGTTTACTGCTGTTTGACTATTATGCTTAAATCCTTACTTTGAGAGGGCTCAGAAAACTTTATGCCCATCTCACTCTAAGAAAATTGGATATGGAATAGGGATGCTCAGGATGCACATTCCATCACCTAAATCCTTGGCATTTTTAGGCAATATGCTAAGATTATACCTGATACAGGTCAGCAATCATGTGTCTTTTCAAAACACACTCCACCACTGCAGTTAAGCTGCTTCTATTTAGCAGCTGGTAGTGGAGAAACTAACTGGAGACAAAATCTGAAATGGGCCATTAACTCATAAACCCCAGTGACCAGAGTACATGACTTAAAAGAGGGGGACTTCAACTCTTTCTTCCATGGACTGCATGAAACTGTCTCAGGAGACTTACAAGTATGTGTAGACAGTTGTAGAAACAGATAAATCTGAGACACCTGAGTAATATTTTAAAAGCCCTTGATTATCTGAAACACCGGCATGGCACAAGCACAAGTATGAAACAGAACCTAGAGAGGACAAGTATATTTCTGGTGTGGTGGGACTGAGGCCTCATGGCAGGATAATCTGCATCATCCAAGAGGGCAAGAACACATCTGCTATGGGAGCTGAATGCAGGTGATTTTCAAAACCTTTCTCAATTCTGTTAATAACTTTGAGATGATGTATTTGATATGTAGAAGAGTAGGTTCATGATCCCAATCACCTGGCACTCCACTTACTTAAATTAGTAAATTCCTTGGGTTTGATTTGGCCTTAAGGCTTTTTTTTTTTTTTTTTTTTGCAGTTTATAGAGCTCTTGACTGTATGATATTCTAGTTAGCTTCCTACAACTGATATGTGGTAAGTGGTAGGGTTAAGTGGTTGTGTCTATTAGCCAGGGCCTAGTAAATGAGGACATTCTACATCACCCTGTGATCATGTGTGGTCATGAGGTCACCACTGCTACAAGTGAGAGGACATTAACAGGAGAGGGGGAAACATAATTTATATTGAGAACTTGAATAATTCAAATATCTAATAAATGGTATATGCTCAGGAGACACGTTTGCCATGAGAAAAAATACAAGCTGCCTCAGTATACAGGTTCACAAGCGACTCTTCAACTAATTTCCCAGCAGACATGCTCAGAGGCCTGATATAGCTTCCAAGAAAGGTCCTTTTATACTGACTTTATGCCATTTAATTTGCACTGTCAATGCAGCATGTTTTTAATGATTTCTAAAATTAAAAGAACTATGCTGTAGCTCATTACTGAATTTAAACTGCATGGAATCATTTAGCATAAACATGCAGTTAAGGCAATACAGTCCTCTTCAAGCTATGTATCAACTTGTAAAGTCATGACTAAAAGATGTGCATAGGAAGTGTGAATTATTCATGAAAATACTCTTGAAGCATCATAAAATTGAGAACTCTTATACTTTCCTACTCTTCAAAAAACTTTTGGAAATGCCACAGTAAAGATAATTGAACTTAACCTTGAATAAAGACTTTTTATCCTTCTACCTTTGGTTTGATATCTTTTAAAAGAGAATAACAAACGGGGTCCAATTCACGACTGAAAGTATTTGAATCAATGATCCTCAAATTTGTGAAAAATCTGAATCTAATTTTTATTGAATGAGAATTTCTGATTCCCCACCATCGACTAGATTCAGCACTTATCAGTCTGAATTAAAGACACAAACTACTAAAAACTATTTTATTGCTAAAGAATATTGGGTCATATTGATTAATGTGGCATACAGTTTAGATAATACAATCTAAGTTTAGAAGAGATATGTTTGTTTCAGGCCACAGAGCAGAGAAAGCATTTTCAAGCAATGGAAAAAAAAATTTTCCTATCTTGCCTAATAAGCAAATAAACATATCTGCTTCAGAAAAGAAAGTTGAAAAATTATGAAAATAATTTTATCTGTTTTGCAGACAAAGTCATTCATGTACTGTATGCTGTTCCAGCATGCATCATACTAGGATCAATGTACATACCTCAAGGCATGTGTATCTGCTGGAATTTACTTGTTGAAAGGAAAGTGTCCTAAGTTTATTATTTATTACTTATTTATTAAGTTTAATTGAAGCATAGTTTTAAGATTAAATAAATTCTAAAAATTCATTTCTTATAAATATCCGTATTTACATATATATGTGTATCTGCTTCTGTGCAAAATAATTACTGATTGTAGCCACCTTTGTTAATCTTAAAATCTGTTACACACATCTGTAAACATTAGAACATATTTTGCTGTGATAAATAAGTGGGCTTTTTTTTCATTATATTAATGGAAATTTTCTGTTTTGACAGATTATAGATATATAGATATATTAAAATGGATAGTCATTCTTTATTTCTTAGGTGCTAAGTGAAAGCTTATATTGTAGAACCTGCTTGTAAAATCAATATTAGTACTGAAGTTAATACATTTTCTCAGTGTTTAAGCTAAAAAAAAAGGGTTTCTAGCTTTTAGTTGAAGAAAACGGCATGTTTTCTTTGAATGCAAAGTAATTAATTATATACATAAAATATTTTCTGAATAGACTTAACATGTTAAACTGTTTGTAACAGAAGTTAACCAGAAGACACTTTAGAACCATCACCACAATATCATACAAGTACAAACTGTAAATAAATCAAGAAAGAAACACATTCAAAAACTGTTTTTATAATGAGTAGCACTAAAACGTGATCCACCTTTACCGAAATGTGTCTTTCACTCTGTAGGAACAATTTGAAATTAAACAACTTTCTTTAAGAAATTCTGGTGATATGGGTGTTTTGACAGCATATATCACCTTATCAGCAACTCCTAAAGCTTTCTTAATGTATCCTGAATGTATTAATACCCAGGACTGATAGATCATTGAGATATTGTTTTGTCTGTGATATGTCAAGTTCGTGCCTCCCTCAGTAGGTCTGTATGCATAATCCAAGGCGTATCTTTGTGATCTGTTCGTCTCCCTTCATTTTAGGCTGCTTTAGAAGTCCTACCATTTTACAGCATCTTGTAGCTTTCCTTTAGAAAATAGTTCCATCTTAATGAGTTCAACAAGCCTTTGACAAATGGGGGAGAAAAAAAAAAAGTAGGGAGATAAGAAAACATTGTGTTCCCAGTCCTGACAACCTGTCTGTTTAAATTTTGCTGAGTTGCTCTGCGTTCAAAGGAGAACTGCCATCACCCTTTTTTCCAACTGCCATTTGGACAAATTTTCTCACTATGTCAGAATAACAACTGAAAACAAATGGTTTGTCTGAAGATCTCTCTAGTCCACCTTAAGAGGGATAAGCAAAGCCATCCACCAGTATCACCAGCAGTAAAAATGTGTTTCTAAAGAGACATGAGCATGTGAAGGGGGAACACTTGGAGGAGTATCTCCTTACCCCATATTCACATGCTGCCTGAGCATATCCCCTCAGATACCTCGCCTGCTGGGTGAAAATACTAGAGTGAACAGAGCTGTTTCCTCCCACCAAAACCTCAGATTGAGAAAATGGCACAAGAAGACTATTTCTGACAGTCACTTAGCTTGACTGGTACTGCAACATTGGAGATAGCGTCAAATTATACTAATGACATTTGATGGAAGTGACCAGTGCAGTGTAGAATTTGCTACAGCCTTTCCTTCTGCAGACAGTTATATTTTGATAAATATTAAGAAAACTTTTACAAGTACCTTATGTATGTTATTCTTAAAATGTACAGCACACAGAGTTAT